ACACACACACACACACACGCACACACATAAATACTAGCAATAACATGCATATAAGCCAGCAAACACACACACACACACACACACACCACAGACATTAGCAAAAGTTGTTGGATTTTATTAAAGTCTATTGGTCATTTATTAATGTGATAATTTACAATTTGCCTAATTTTAACTATATATTTAGTGTTTAAGTATAGTTTTAGTAATGTATTTCTTTATAGGAAACCATCATTATAATTTTGGAAGAGTCTACTTGGTGTGTTCATTCCATGTATTGCTCAATTCTATTTGCAAATATTTTCTTTGCCATTTGTATCAAAGTTCATACCATATAAATTACAAAAAAAAAAGTCTATGACTATTTCATTAATGAAAATGATGGAAAGATACACTTTGTCAGTGAGCCATTTACAATGCTTCCCTATTTTCAGATTTGGAGATAAATTAGGGTCAGTGTAATAGGAATTCAGTGTCTAAGAAAATATAATGTCAAGGGGGCAGAATTAAATTCATGCAGAAAATGACCTCTTCATTTCAGAGTATGTCTTTGCGGGGACTGTTGTGGGGAGTAGCAAGGGCAAAAGCCAAATTGAACAGCATTAATAATGAATATATGAGAGAACTAGAAACTACTATTGCAGGCTAGTATTTTGAGAATTTGGCCACAGAAAATAAAGACAGACAGAAGGGATAGAAGCTCGAGGAAAGCATGATCTGAGGAGGGATATCTTACCAATAATGAAGCTCTGTACATACCTGTCTTCTTTACTAGATTTGTATCCCTAGAACCTAGAACAGTGTCTTCCAAAGAGCAAACACTCAATACAAATTGTTTATTGACTTTCTGTAAAAATCGTAACTGAGTATAAAAAACAGCCCAGAAGTTGGAGACAATGGGGATAAGAAAATGGGGGTTAACTTGAGAAGACACTCCATTCTCTGACAGGAATGAAGATGATGATTACACAGCACCATCACTACCACCCAAGTCCTTTGAGAATACTAAGGTTAAATTCTAATTATCATAACATTTTCTAAAGGAATAAACACGGTTTACATATTTTGATAACAAAACTCTTTCACTCTTTCAATTTTCTAAAATGCAACCAACAGCAACATGAAAGGAGGGAGCGACCAATTCTTAGGGAAAAATCAGAGCTAATCCAGATTGTGAAGCGTCCAGGTCCCTTGCTTCTCATTTCCTCTCTGCTGTCTCTGTGACAACAGACTGGGCTGAGATGGAAAACAAAACAAATTATCAAACTGTGCTAGACTTGAGCAACTCTGGTAAATGGATTTAGGGCTATGCTAGGATAACTGTTAAAACGCACTCTTCAGCAAAACATTTTACTTATTTGTGCAATTTCTTTCTCCACGTAGCATGATTAGCCAGGAAGTGGTTAATATGTAAGCAAAGAACATAAAGACATAATTCCAGAAGGCAATAGTAATAATAATTCCCACAGAATACACGGTTGATGTATTCTACAATTCACAAAAATTTTACAAAGAAGTTGAAGAATGAGAGTGGGATAACAAGGTGGTGGGGGAAGCGGCATGGAATTAGGAAAAAAATGATATAATTTCAGGTCTAAGGAGAGCAAAGACATTTGTTAAAGCAAATATTCGCACTACGATGACTTGCTAATTTCCATCACCTTGCGTCAGTAATGGGAAATCTAACGGGAAAAAAGATGGGCCCCGCTTCTAACTCCGCTACCTGGGCAGCCACAGACTGGGAAGGATACAGGTAAGCGCCAGGTCGGTGACGCCCGCCGCTCTCCCGAGGGCTGAGGGGGGCTCTGTCGAGGGTGTCCGAGGATTCAATGCCCAGTCCGGTGACCGCGCTCCGGGCTCCGGGCCTCCCCGCCAGCATCCTTCACCTCAGCGCCGCCTCCCCGCTCGCCCCTAGCGCCTCCCTCATGGCAGCTCTGGCTTCCTCCTCCTTCCTTTCCTCCTCCTTCTCGGCCCCTCCCTACACTCCGACTCTCGGGCCTCGCGTCACCGGCACAGAAGGGTTGGCCGCGGCAGCCTTGGCTCCCGCACAGTGGCGCTGGTGGCTGTAGTGATGATGGCAGCTGCGGCAGCGGCGACCTTGCTTGGCAATAGCAGAGGTGTCAGCAGGAACCCCACCACCGCCATCTTGACAACCAACCGACGCCGCGTCCTTGGCGACGGAAATCCGAGAGGAGGGGCGGGGCCCGCCGGGGCGGGGCTGGCCCAGAGGCAGCCAAGGAGGCACCCGCGGCCCCGCCTGCTGGGAGCTGTCCTGCGGGCGTCGGGTAGTTACCCCGGCGTCCCAAGGGACCTACGTCCTTGCCGGAGTGAGCAAAATTATGCGTTATAGCTTGATTCAGTCCTATCTCCCTTCTTATGAGGGGTGTTTTCCTGGGGGTATTGAGACTGGCTAAAGATAGTGAGATGCAAAGTCCCCAGATATAGGCAAATGCACTGGGCGGATTCTGAAATGATTAGGGGTTAATTTGGAGTTGGATTTGTTGTTTGACTACCGAATCCTGTTGTAGGGTTTTGAATTGTGAGTAATGCCCAGGGCATTATTCTCGCCAAACGCTGTCTTTTAAAAAAAAGTTTCGTGAAGTGGAAAATTTCCTTTTCTGCATTTTCTCACCCCCTCGATGATGCTTCTGCCATTCTCTCTGCAGTCGACTTCCTTGCCTGTGCCCTACTTATAAGGTCAACATTTCAAAGGCTTCTAATGGTCCTTGCCTTGCTGCCAGATTCTGGAAATGGACATCACAGCAAACCTACTAATCTCCCGAGAAGATACGCCAAAAGAGATCATTGTGTTGAAATTGTTTCAGGAAATATGGAAAATTAAATGGATTTTTGAGACACTGGTTTAATGGCTATGCAAGTGAAAATTTGGAAAAAGTCTGCAACTTTTTGTTGGAGCCCAGTATAAAAGCACATAAAATTCTGACTGTATTTCAGCCAGTTTTTTCATGGAAAAACTCCCAGACTGAAGGCAGAATGTACAGACCAAATAAAGATTATTCACCCACCACTAAATGTCTCTGTGAATCAATTTGTTCATTTTTTAGAGTTTAAATAATAAACTTTTCCTGTTGAAACTATTTAAAATAATGTTTGCGAACTTGGATGCAATGACTCAAATTGGAAAGTGCTCTGGGGACTGATTTTTTTTTAATTTTCAAAATATTAAGGGGGTACAAATGTTTTTGTTACATGGAAGTCAGGGCTGTTGGTGTGTCCATCACCAGAATAGTGTTCATGTACCCAACAGGTAAGTTTGTATCCCACACTTACCCTCTTACCCTTTTCCTTTCCTGGTTTCCAATGTGCTTTATATCTCTTTGTGGCCATGTGTACCCATAGTTTAGCTCCCACCTATTGGTGAGAACATATGGTGTTTGGTTTTCCATTCCTGAGATACTTCACTTAGGATAATGGTCTCCAGTTCTATCCACGTTGCTGCAAACGACATTATTTCATTATTTTAATGGCTGGATAGTACTCCATGGTATATATATACCACATTTTTTTACCCACTCATAAATCGATGGGCACTGAGGTTGGTTCTGCATCTTTGCAATTGTGAATTGTACTGTGGTAAACATTCAAGTGCAGGTGTCTTTTTGATAAAATAACTTCCTTTCCTTTGGGTAGATACCAAGGAGTGGGATTGCTGGATTGAATGGTAGGTCTACATTTATTTCTTTGAGGAATCTCCATAGTATTTTCCATAGAGGCTGTACTAATTTGCAGTCCCACCAACAGTGTACAAGTGATCCTTTCTCTCTGCATCCATGCCAGCATCTGTTGTTTTTGGACTTTTTAATATGGCCATTCTGATAGGGGTAAGGTGGCATCTCCTTGTAGTTTTAATTTGCACTTTCCTGATGATTAGTGATGTTGAGCATTTTTTAATACATTTTTAGTCCATTTGTCTATCTTTCGATTCTTCTGTTCATGTCTTTTGCCCACTTTTTAATGGGATTGCTTGTTTTTTTTCTTGCTGGTTTGTTTGAGTACTTTGTGGATTCTGGTTATTAGTTCAGATATATAGTTTGCGAATATTTTCTCCCATTCTGTAGGTTGATTATTTCCTTTGCTGTGCAGATGCCTTTTAATTTAATCAAGTCCCATTTATTTATTTTTGTTGTTGTTATATTTGCCTTTGGGTTCTTAGTCATAAATTCTTTGCCTAGGCCAATGTCTAAAAGAGTTTTTCTTACTTTTTTTTCTAGAATTATTATGGTTTCATGCCTTACACTGAAGCCTTTTATCCATCTTGAATTAATTTTTATGTATGGCAAGATATAGGGGTCCTGTTTCATTCTTCTGCATGTGGCTATCCAATTTTCCCAGCACCATTTATTGAATAGGGCATCCTTTTCCCAGTGTATGTTGCTGTCTGCTTTGTTAAAGATCAGTTGGTTGTAGGTAGATGGTTTAATTTCTGGGTTCTCTATTCTGTTCCATTGGTGTCTGGCTCTACTTTTATATCAGTACCATGCTGTTTTGGATACAAAAGCCTTGTAGTATAATTTGAAGTCAGGTAATAGGATGACTCCAGATTTGTTCTTTTTGCTTGGGATTGCTTTGGCTATTCAGGGTCTTTTTGGTTCCAAAGGAAGCTTAGGGTTATTTTTTATAGGTTTGTGAAATAAGATGTTGGTATTTTGATGGAATTGGATTGAATCTGTAAATCATTTTGGGCAGTATGGAAATTTAAACAATGTTGATTCTGCCAATCCGTGCACAGAGGATGTTTTTCTATTTGTTTGTGTCATCCACAATTTCTTTCATCAATGTTTTATAGTTCCCCTTGTAGAGATCTTTCACCTCCTTGGTTAAGTATATTCCTAGGTATTTTATTTTCTTTGTAGCTATTGTGAAGGATATTGAGTCTTTGATCTGATTCTCAGCTTGGCTGTTATTTGTGTACAGAAATGCTACTGATTTGTGTACATTAATTTTCTTTTTTATTACCATTTTTGTTTTAAAGCTTATTTTATCTGACATGAGAATGGCTACACCTGCTTGCTTTGGGTTTCCATTTGCATGGAATATTTTTTTCTATCCCTTCACCTTGAGTCTTCATGAGTCCTTGTGGTTTAGATGTGTTTCTTGGAGACAGAAAATACTTGTGTGTTTTCATCCATTCAGCCAGTCTATGTCTTTTAAGTGGGGCATTCAAACTGTTCACGTTGAGTGTTAATATTGATATGTGGGATGCTGTTTTGTTCATCATGTTTGATGATACCTTATTGTTTTGTTTTCCCTCTTGTGCTATCATTTTATAAGATCCGTGAGATATAACGTTCAAATGTTTTTACATTGGTGGGTATCTATTGTGCTGTTGTATACATAATGTACTTTTGAGCATTTGTTATAGGGCAGGTCTAGTAGTGACTAATTCTCTTAGTGTTTGCTTGTCTGAAAAAGTCTTTATTTCTCCTTCATTCATGAAACTTAGTTTTGCAGGGTAAAAAATTCTGGGCCAGCAGTTGTTCTATTCAAGAAGATTAAAAATGGAGCCCCAATTCCTTCTGGGTTGTCTCTGCTGAGAAGTCTGTTGTTTACCTAATGGGTTTTCTTTGTAAATTAGTTGTCACTTTCATCTTGCAGCTTGTAGAATTTTCCCCCTCATTTTTTTTTGGCCAGGTTGATGAGTAAGTGTCTTGAGGATGTCCTATTTGCTATGAATCTTCTCAGTGTTTGATTACCTTCTTGTATGTGGATATCTGAATCTCTGGTTATCCCAGGGAAGTTCTGCTCAATAATTCCCTCAAATAGGTTTTCCATGCTTTTTGCTTTTTCTTCTTCTCCCTAAGGGATACCTATAATTCATATATCAGCTCATTTCACATAGTGCCATATTTCTCTGAGTGATTGTTCATTCTTTTTCATTCTTTTTTCACATCTTTGACTGACTGGGTTAGTGCAAATGTTTTGTCTTCAAGCTCTAGGATTCCTTCTTCTGCTAAATATAGCCTGTTATTGAAGCTTTCTGCTGTATTTTGTAATTCCCTAAATGACTCCATCATTTCTTTAAGTTCTGTTATATCTTTTCTTATATTGTGTATCTCTTTAGCGAGTTTTTCATGTTTTATATTCATGTCCTGAAATATATTTTTGATTTCTTTATTTTGGTTTTCAACTTTCTCTTCAATGCCATTCATTGTATTTGCCATCCATATTCTAAATTCTATTTCTGACATTTTGACAATTTCCTTTTGGTTGGGGTCAGTTGCTATGGATCTTTTGTGATCTTTTGGGGATGTCAAACTAGCTTGTTTTTTCATGTAGCTAGAATTCCTTTGCTGGTTTCTTCTCACATGAAACCTCTTCTCTTAGCTCAGGGCTGATAGGTTTGTAGTGCACCTGTTCTCCCTTGCTGGTAACACAGTGAGAAGGAGGAGAAATCCCTAAATAATGCTTTGTTGTTTTATTCTGGAGAATGGATCCAGCAGGAGGGAGGCCGATTTACTGAGAGTCTGTAATGCAGCTGTTCTTCTACATTGCCCTGTCTCCATGTGGTTGTCACAGGACATGTCAGTCCTGGGGGGGTACTCGTTTGAATTGGTGCATTGGTTCCCAGGCTGCTGTTGAAAGCTTGAAAAGGGGGCTGGGCAATCCTTTCTCCATGGAGGTGAATGGCATGACTTTGGGTGGCACTTGGTCAGGCTGTGGGACCCTGGTGGGTGTCTGGATGTTTCACAGGAATGTAGCCCATGGATGGGTGGGTCATGAGAACTTGGAAGGCCCCTGTGCAAGTCACGGGATCTTGGCAGTTGCCTGGGTGTGTTATGGGACATTGACGGGTGCCTGGGTGGGTGTGGGACCTTGGCCAGCACCTGGGTGGGCTGTGGCACCTTGGAGGGCACTTGGGCATGTTGCAGTACTGCAGCCAATGATGCAGCAGATCATGGGACCTTCCTAGGTTCCTGGGTGTGTCTCAAGACTGCAGGTGGTGGTGGGTCGCAGGAACTTGCCTGATGCCTATGTGAGTCATGAGACCTTGGCAGGTGCCTGGACAGGTCGGAGGTCTTGGCCAGTGCCTGGGTAGGTTGTGGGACTGCAGCCAGCAGCAGGGTGGCTCCTTGGGCTGCAGTGGCTGGTCCACTGGTGGCTGGCAAGGCTGGGGAGATACATGGTGCCCCACTGCAGAGCTGCAGTGGCTGGGGCTCTCCCTCCACCAAGTCTGACTGTGGCAGCTGCTGCAGAGCTACCCAGGTGATGTTGGCAGCACTATGGAGACAGCCAGATGGCAGTGACACGTGCTGGGGCCTGGTGAGCACTTGTTTTGCCTGGATCCCTGGGTGGCAGTCAGTGGGGGAGGGTTGGGGAGATGCATGGCACTCAGTCACAATGCACGTGAGAGAGCCCGCACTCCCCAGTCCCTCCCTGTCCTGGCAGGGGTAATGGGGACGTGGCTGCTGTGGAGCCAACCCCTCTGCAGATTGGATGCTCTGGGGCTGAGGGTACAGATTGGCATCTTTTCTAGTGACCTGGGACCAGAAGCTGGTGGGACCACACTGTGCCTACTCTTTGGTAGGTATAATGCTGCTACACAGTCTCCAAGTAGCTCCCTGATCAGTTGGGAGGACTGCTGTGGTGGGGGAGCCCCCTTGCAGCTCAGATTTCAGTGTCTACTGGGGGAGAGCGGAGTCCTGGGGATCTCCCCTAACCCTTCCCCAAGTGTGGACACTTCTCCAGGTACCTTCCAATGTTGCTGAGTGGATCACCCTGCCTCTCTCTCTCCTGCTTTGGTTGTCTCAGGTGGCTTCTCTGATGATTCACAGTGCTCTCTCTGAGATGGTCCCTCTGTAAATGAACATCTACCCGCAACCTTTGACCCTCTCCTTGAGAGTGGCGAGTGCAGCCTGCTTCTCGTCCGCCTTCCTAGTTGTCCCCCTTGGGAGATTTCTGTTCCCAGATTCCATGGTGTCCTGGCATCCTCCCTATGGATCTTCCAATACCTGAAGGTCACAGGGTGACAGAGGCTGTGCTAGTCACCTGGGCATCCTGGAGCAGAGGAGAAGCAACAGTAAAGAGGGATTCAAGTTGGGTGAACACAGGAGCGTGAGAGACAAAAGCTCTGCGGATTTGGGACTGAGACTTTAAAGTGCCACACAAATCCAGTTTCGATTTAAAACTTAAAACACGTAACAAAGTCTTCAGGATCATGCCAAGAGAATAAACTATATAATCCTGATAGAGAAAGGCTAAATATATACAATTGGACAATTTGGTATCTTGGCAAGCTTTTAACTGGCCTAGTCACAGGCATTGGCCTTGACTCTATTCCCACTGCTATCCCCACGTGTCTGTCTCTCCGGGGCTGATCTGAGCAAAGTAGGGCAATACGAAGTGCAAATAAAAGTGAGAAGACTGTGGTTGCTGTTTGGACTATTTAGGCATATTTAGCCTTCCTGAAAGTCTAGCTTTTACTGTATTATTACTTTGAT